CTTCCTCATCTCACTGTGTTTTGCAGATCCGCCCAGCAGCCACGTCCCCTCCGCTCCAGCAGCGTGTGGTTGAGCTTGAGGTGGCAGGAGAAGCAGGAGCGGGCTGGGAAGGGGGGACACAGAGGGAGGGAAAAGCTTTGGGGAGCTGAGGAGAGAAGGTGAGATGGAGAGCGAGGCTGGGAGGTGGTGGGGAATCCCTTTGGGCTCCACTGGAGGGAACAAAGGGCTGCGCTGTCCCCTTCTGGGCCATCCTCCCAGATAGGTGTCCTCCTCAGCAGCTTGTGGCTGCCTTCCGAAACCTCAGGATGGAGATGTCTGGGGGTTGATGGCTTCGGTGGGACTGCTCTGGAGGCAGCTCCGTGGGCCCAGGCGAACAAGCTGCGGTCAGCGCTCTGCCTCCTTCTTCCCTTTGTTTCCACTGACGCTGCATCCACTGCCCCAGGAGCCATAATTACCTGTCCCTGCTCCTCCTGTTTGCTGTTGCCAGCCCCAGGGGAGCGTGCCTGACTGCGGCTTCTCAGGCAGAGCCCGAGGTCAGAATGCGTGTGTGGAGACGTCAAGGGCTGCGGGAGGGGGGAGGATGCAGCCTTCCTCCAGAAGGATCAGTACTGCAGGGAGCTCATCGAGGAGAAAAGCAGAGATGAGGTGAGGAGCTGCTGAAGTTAATTTCTGCAGCTCTTAATGAGCAGCCAAAACCTGAACGTTGGGTGGTGCTGCGCAGAGCTGGGCTCAGTGACACTTGTGGGTCCCTTCCATGTCAGGATGTGCTGTGATCCTGTGAATCTATGGGCAAGAAAAGGGGGTGTATTTTATTAGGGAGACAAAACCAGTTTGATATCAACAACTACTAGAAGACAATAAGGAGTCTGTCCCACACAGGTTAGGCAGAGAAGAACCGAGCGTCAGCTTGCTGAGGAATAGTGCTGAGCAAACTGCACCTCCTGGGTGCTGGGGACAGGGAGCAATCGAGCGTGCTGGGAGCAGAGCATCCTCGGAGTCGTACAGGCACACAGCCCGACAACTAACCCCGAGTGGAAGCAACTGAACGGAAACCTTGAGAACAGAAAAACAGCAGGAAACCTGGGAAAAGAGAGAGCGCAAAGCTCTCCTTGTGCCGGCTGTGCGCGCTGAGGTAAGTCAGCTGGAATCCGGCTTGGAGGCTGCTGCCCCAGCCAGAAACAAGGGCTGAACGTGTCCCAGGGCCCATTGCCTGTGAGAAGCCCTGCCTTGTGGCTGGAAATAATGAGCTGCACGACAGACGTGTTCTCTGACATGACGGCTCTCGGTGCCACCGGTGCCAAATTCAACACAGCATTGTCCAAAGGCGCCTCGTGTTCTTCCTGCACCTCCCGGCTGGGACCAGAGCTGCAGGAATGGGCATCAGCACAGGGGGGTGGGGGGGTTTCCTCCCCCTGGAGTGGGGTCAACTCTGCTCTGAGCACTGTGGCAGGAGCTGAACATCTGGAGTTGGGTGAACCCGGCATCTGCTCGTGGTGCGGCCAGCAGCTCTCCAAGGGGACACGGAACAGCACCGAGCAGCTCTCAGCTCTGGCTTCAGCAGCAGAGGAATGGAATCGGTTGATGCCTAGACCAGCCTGAGACCAGGGATGCTTTGTGTTCTCTCTCTCCCCTTATCTAAAAACACCTTTTTGATGAAATGGAAATGGGTAAAGGGGAGAGCCGTATCAATTTTGTAAGGGGAAAAGAACACCATCAAGCGAAAAAAAGAAGAGCCATCAAAATATTTGAAGTTTTCAGAGACGTCCCTCTCCATCCCCAAGCTCAACAGATAATGAATGTTTCAAGCCTAATGAGGGCCCTCCACCAGGAAGGATTCTCAGCAGCTCCTTTCACAGCCTCCCACTCCCCTCCAGCCGGACGTGCTGCTGTGCCAGGGACCCGCAGTGTGTCAGCCCCGCGCAGCAGCGCTCCGTCCCGGCCCATTACCTCGAGGAGCTCCAGAGCAGTGTGTGTGCCTCTGCTGATGTGATGAGCCCTTCACCGCGGGATGCAGCAACAGCTGCCACCAAATCCGGCTGCTGAGGCTCGTGCTACTGGGTGGGGAGGATCTACCTGGGGGTGGAGACATCGGCCTCCTGCTCGGTGCACGGGTGCCTGCCTGCAGCCTTTTTAGCTGCAAGCATCCATGAGTGAGGACTGGATCTTTGGAGAATTCAGTTTAACCCACGGAAATAACACTTCTAATCTGGATTATAGAGGCCACCTTGGTGTTGATCTCGTGAGCTGCCTCCCACCAACCTCCCAACAACCCTGCAGCTGGATTTCTAACAGAAGTCACCTAAGCAAAGCTGTCCCCACACTCTGTGTCAGCAGCACAGGGTTTTGCCCCCAGCACCACCTGCAGCTCTCCCAAGACCTTTTCTCTGGCTGCCTCCATCTTCTGACAGGGAGGAGAAGCAGGAGGCTAACAACAGAAGTCAGATGGGAATGGGGACAGCAGCAATTTCTGGTTCTTCCCTGGAAACCTCAGGGCCAAGAACTTGCCAGCTTGCACAGGAAGATGGGAGGCAGGTGTGGGGCAGGCAGAGCGCGTGCAAGAAGGGCAGTGGACATACTGTGGACAAGTGGAGGCTGACTCTGGGGGATGTTTGGCCTCAGCTACCCAGGGATGGTGTGAGAAGCAGGAAGCTGGGGGAGCCCTGCACTTGGCCAGCACCAAACTGGGAACAACAGCAGGCAGACTCTGGGGTGCCAGGGAGGCCTTTCCAGCAAGGAGAAAGCTTCCAGCTGTCTGTTGTGATGCTTCCCCTTAGGGAAGGGCATGAAGCTGTAACCCTGGCTGTAACAAGTCTCTAAACTTATTAGCTGCTGGGCAATGAGTGATGTGTTGCACAGGGCGAGCAGCAGTGACTTGTGTTGGTGCAGAGGAAGACGATGTGGCACTTTGGTGATGGGAGAGTTGGGGACTGCGTGAAGGACATGATGCAGCCCAGGGAACTACTGCCCACCCAGGCAGCACCCTGGTGCTTTGGGGCTCGAGCTGATCAACAGGCAAGCGAGGAGAGGAGGGTTCAGTAGTGGTGTTTGTTGGAGAGAAGAGTCATTCCCCTGTCTGCATCACATAAACGAGAGCATGTTTTTCACTGTGGGGCAATACATGCAGGGACAGAGAGAGAAATGTTTCAAAAAAGAAAGAAGGAAAAGGGGGAGGGGGGAAATGAATCGATATAACAGAAGCATTAGGGCACTCAGGGGAGTGTTTTAGTGGGGCCATTAATATACTTCTCAGGTGGTAAAAGCCACTTAGCCTTTAAAAATGATAATGAAATGTTAACTACCCAAAGCATTATTGCTGAGTCACAGAGAGCAGGCAGCCCTCTGGCTCCCACCCGACCCTGGGGTGCTGTAATGGCCCTGCGTGCCCCACCTCCTGCAGAGGGACCCCACGGCCCCACTGCCCCCAGCTCACACAGCATGTGTGCCACTGCCAGGACCCCACTGCCAGTGGGAATGCTCTGCCATAGGGAGCAGGGAGGACCCAGATCCCAAAACGCTGAGCTCAAGGATGAGGTGTGCAGGACATCAGGAATGTTGGTTCCCAGGAGATGGGGACAGACAGAAGTGGAGGACTCATGCATTTCCAGCCCGCACTGCACAAAGCATTGGTGGATGCTGGTACCTGGACCTACACGCCCTATGAGCACCAGGGCAGCACACACAGCACACCCTGCTGTGCACCCTCACCCTGACCACCGAGCTGAGCTCTGGGGGCACTGGGACCCTCTGGTGGCCAACCACTCTGAGAACCATGGGGGCCGAATTCGGGCTGCGTTCTTGTCAAGCAGGGCTTCTGCACCCCACAAGGGAGCAGGAACTCTCATTTCTCATCTTTTATGTATCACTGACTCTTATTTGATTGTGAAGGGCCCAAACAGCCCCCTGCAGTGTCACACGAAGAAACCCAACAGGTCTGCATGGTCCAGCGAGCCCAAGTGTGAGATGAAGGACTTCTCCTAGGACGAGTCAGTGCCCAAGCAGAAAATTAATTTCATTCCATCCATCTGTATATGACCCCAAACCATCCCCAGTCAGGGAGATTACGGAGTTTTTCCATGAATGTAGATTCAAAGTCAGAGGCAGCTGTGCAGGATGCTGGTGAGGGGACAGAGAGCAGCTTGGCTCCTGGTGGTATCTGCACCCATTTCAGGCGCCACTGAGAGACCATTCTTGGGAAATGGTTTGTTGAGTTTTCAGCTCTGTTAGGGAGTACCTGGTCAGCACCAAAGCATGCAGGTGGGCTTCTTTACCTCTGAGCCCTAGTACGTAGTTCTGAAAGTACTGCCTCTTATTTATTTGTATGGAAACTACAACAGGTACAAAGAGCACAACACTATTTGATGGAGCAAATTCTCACCTACAAAACTGTTTTTCAACACAGACACCATCACAGCTATGCGGTTTTGCAAGCAGTGAACAAGAGCCTGCATGCCACACTCTGCATGTAGGCTCTGCACCAGCAGAGGTGACCCACCGCCTCTGCTGCTGAAACGCACCAGCCTCACTCTGCTCACACACACTGTTGTCTCCACCAGCGTTCGCAAGCGCTGATGAATGCCAACGGGCGCCTCTTTTCTGCACGGAGGCATTCAATTCCACACCTTTGCTCCGCAGGCACTTCCACTTCAGACGCCATTTTGTCAGACCTCCCCTCCGCTGCCATCTGTCACGCGGCAACAAAACGGAACGGGATACCGGTGGAAGGTCCAACCGCCGTCCCACAGCCATCCGCCTCCGACAGCGCGGGCCGGCATCACAGAACAGGAGGCATTACTTTCGGAGCGGCCCGGACAGAAGGCATCACGGCAGCAGGAGCCGCGCAGGCGGTGCAGGGCCGCAGCCGCGCCATCACCCTTCTCCTCCTTCTCCTCCTTCTCCTCCTTCTCCTCCTTCTCCTTCCCCGCCCCAGCTCCCCGCTTTGCCCCCCGCTCCCCCGGGACGCAGCCGCGCGGCGCCGCAGCCGGCCCGGCCGAGCTCCTGCCCGCAGGCACGGCGCAAGGGCGCGGGAAGGACGTTTCCTTCCGGAGCCCCGTTCTGGCGATTAACGGACGCGGAGGGTTTTCCGCCCGCCGAGGGGAGCGGTTCTCAGCCGCGGGAGCCGGCCGGAGCCGCTAAGTGGGTCACGCTGCGATGCGGGCCGGCGGCGCACGGCGCGGGGCAGCCCCGCTCCCAGCACGGCCCCGCGGCAGCGCTCACCCGGCGGCCCCGCATTAAGAGCCGCGCGGCCGCCTCCGCTGCAGCGCTTTATCCCCAGCGCCCGCTGTGAACAAAATTGCCTCGGATCAGGTGGTGCGAGCCAATTTTTCTCGCAGCGGGGGCTGCAGGTAAAGCACCTCGGCGCAGGAGAGCTGCGCGGCTCTGAACTTCTCTGCTGCCCGTCTGAACCCCGGGAAGGAGGAGAAGGGATACTGTGTGCACTCGAGCAGAATCGGAGAAGATGCCAAGAGAGGAGAGAAGCAGATGGAAAAGGCAGAGAAAGCTCAAGATGAGGAGAGAGCAGGAAGGAAGGAGCAGAGGAAGGATAAAGCAAGAGGGAGGTGAGAAAAGAGCTGGAGCTGGGATGCCACAAAGCAGTGGCCAAGGCTGCAAGAGAACCGCATCTTCTCTTTCTTGTCCTACAAACCAGACACAGACGTGGCAGCAGCTAATCTTCCTGGCTCGTGAACAAAAGGATTCTTTTCATGCCAGTAATCCAAGAGCTGCCATGCCACGGCTCTCCCAGCTCATCTGCTGTGAATGCACTTATGTGGCGTCCAACTGAACGGGTTAGCAAAATAAAGACAGATGGCAATGGATTAGCTCTAACACTTCTTCTGTATCACAATGCAATCATTGCAGTCTTCTTCACTGCCTCCTCTCGGGACGGTCTGCTGCACTGCAGCTGTGCAGTGCCCCCAGGTATCCACCAGCCCCAGAGCTGCAGGAAAGATCCACCCTCACTGTTCATTTGTGCCTAGGAAAGAGGTGTGGAGATGTCACAGCACAGGTGAGCCCACAGCCACCTCTCTGATGCAACGGGACTTCTTTGTCTCAGAACACCACTTGGTCATGCACCTCTGGCTGATTAAGGGTAGACTCTGAAACCCATGTTGGTGAATGCTGAGCAGCATTTTTACATCTAGCCCTGCTAGCTCCAAGGACGGGGATATGTCACACAGTCCATTAAACATCAAGGAAGATATATGGAGAAACAACAGTGGGATGATGATGCCACATCTTCACAGACCAGCAAGGAGAATGGTCTCTTCTTCATGACCAAATCTACATTAACCGAGTGAATGCAGCTGCAGAGAGCTTCCAGCCAACCCACTGCCAGCTGATGCAATATGAGCATGGAGGCAGTGGTCACCGAGGCATTTTTATACTTTTTCCCAGGTGGAAACGGTGTAGGGATTCTAGCATCAAGTCTCATTAGGAGCTGGTTGTTGCTAGTAAACATCCTTTGCAACTACATCACCTGCTTGTGCTGAGCCGAGCCCAGCCCACCATCCAGGTGCAGGCCCACTGAAGAGCTTCAGCAGGCTTTTAGTGCCGGCGCTGCTGGTAGCTGCAGGAGTGCTGAGGTTCTTTGGGATGACGGCGTTTCTGTCCTGCTGAAGCAGTCCCCTAATCTCATTTAGGAAGTTAGTGGGACATCTTCACTTCTGACCCCGTTATTTTGTAAACTGTCTCTTCTGGTTCCTCCCTCACCCAAGATCCCCACGAGAACAAGCAGCCCCATTTTCTCAAGAAGGTGCCTTTCCCCGTGGCCATGTTTAGTAAACATAGAGCGGGTGACACTCAGGAATGGTCAGGAAAGATCAGGCTCTATCCCTGAAAAATACCAAGACATAGTCAGTGTTTTTGACAAGGAGACAGCTCGCCTCTGTGTTGGCTTTATCACTGGAGAGCCACCCAAGCTGCCTCAGCTTTGGTATCTGTAGGGATGTCCCTTGCTAGTTTTCATGCATATTTCACTAAGGAGTGCTCCTGATCACTCTACATATGCCTGAAAATACAGGATTTCTTCAGATGCACAAAGCCCAGTCTGCCTTCGATCTGTTCCAACAGGCGTTTACATCAGCATCTGTCCAGGCACTGCAAAACCACTCACTGCTGAGATAGGTGTTGCTCCACTATGCCGTCCTTGCAACATTCAGTGCCCCAGAATGAGCACATCGAGCTCCTTTAGGTCTGCACAGTAACAGTAGTATTTCAAGGTCAGCCATAAGAGACGCAGAGTTGTCAAATATGCCCTAGAACAAAGGCACTGACGTCTATAAGACAGGTGGTTGTAGGCAGAAAACAGCCCTGATGCATTTCACCGTAATAGAGGCTATCTTGCCCCTGGATTGATAAGAATTGTGGAGTTGTTGTTCAAGAAACTGGTCCACTCATTCAGTTCAGATGTTCTCTGGCAGGAAGAGGCCGAGCAGGGATACCACTCCTGCTTCTGCTTCTGCAGTCCGCATATTAGATAAAAAATACTGCAAGACATTTGCTGAGATCTCCAGTTGGTAATGGTGCCTCAATGAAACATCTGACTTACATATAGATGGCTGCCAACAGAGGAATAGGGGCATTTGAGGAAGGACAGGCTGGGAAGATGAGGAGGAGATGATACTCTGTATGTGAGAAAGCTGTCGGAGCACAAGGAGCTCTGCCTGGGTGTGGATGAGGAGCTGACAGGGAGTCTGGATAAGAATTAAGAAGCAGACCAGAACAGGAGATGTTGTAGCAGGTGTCTGCTACAGGCTACCAAACCTGGAGGAGCAGAGTGAGGCCCTGTGCAGACAGCTAGAAGCAGCCTCACGCATTCATCCCCATACCTGCATGGGGGTGACAGCTCTGCAGAACATAAGCAGTGCAGGAGGCTCCTGGAAAGCACTGATGAACACATTTTACTTCAAGTGGTAGAGGAGCCAACGATGAGAGGAACTCTGATGGACCTCACACTCAACAAGAAGGGACGTGCTTGGTATCCAGAGGTCCAAGCAGCTTCGGGAATTCCAGATCACAGAAAGCACAGGGAAATGCTGAAACAAGAAATCTGACCCTAGGTGGAAGTGGACTGGGTCAGGGAACACTCAGGAAAACTGGACATGGGCCTTGATGGAATGCACATACAAGTGCTGAAGGAGATGACAGATACCATTGTGAGACCACTCGCAATAATCTTTTGCTGATCATGATGAATATGAGAAGAGCTCAAAGACTGGAGGAGAGCAGATGTCTAGATTCAAGGAGGGCAAGAAGGAAGACACAGAGAACTCCAGAACAGTCAGCCTCAACTCCGTATGTTGGAAGGTAAGGGAATAGCTCATCCTGGAAATTGTCTCCAAGCACAGGAAGGACGAAGAAATCATCAGCAGTAGTCAGCACGGCATTGCCAAGGGCAGTGGCAAGGTGGGGGAGTAATGCTTAGCCAAGCTGATGTACTTCTGTGCTGAAGAGACCGGCTTGGCATATGGGTGAGCAGCAGACGTTGCACACCTGGGTTTAAGTAAGTGCGAGATCAGGGTGGTCCCAAACATGAATGGACAAGGAGTGAATTGAGAGTAGCCCTGGGGAGAAGGACTGGGGGGTATTGGTGGAAAAAAATTGGAATATGAACAGGCAATATCTGCTTGCAGCCCAAAACACCAGCTGTACCCTGGGCTACATCATAGGAATTGCAGCTAGCAGGTCGAGGAAGGTGTTGCTCCCCCTCACGCTCTCATGATTCCCCACCTCACTGCTGTGTTTGACTCCCCAACATAACAAGGATGCAGAGCTGTTAGAGTGAGAACAGAGGAGGCCACATGGTTGGTCAGAGGGCTGGAGCACATCTCCTGTGAGAAAGAGTTTGTTCTGCCTGGAGATGGGTCCAGGGAGGCCTTGCAGCAGCCTTCCTGTACATAAAGGGACTTACAGGAACGAAGGGACCATTTTGTCAGAGAGGGTAGTGAGAGAACAAAGGGTAACTGCCATAAAATAAAAGAGGACACATTCAGATTAGATGTCAGGAAGAAATTCTTTACTATGAGGGTGATGATGTGCTGGAACAGGTTGCCAGAAAAACTGCTGATGCCACATCTGAGGAAGTATGAGTGGATGGGAGCCCTTCTGGGAAAGGCAAAGGATCCCTGAGATGAGCTCTGACAGTACCCTGGTGCTCACAGGACTCAGACATATCCTAAGATGGGAGAAAATTGAGGCTGCTGGGAGCCTTGATGGACTTGCACATTCCTGACAGATGGAGCGTTCTGCAGGGACGATGGCTTCCATGCGGGCTGTCTGCAGCCCTCCTCCTCCTCCTGCCCTCTGGGAAAGGCATGGGAGAGTAGAGGTGAAGGCATGGAGCTGGCGGTGCTGTGCTGGTGAGGAGTTCTGCCCTCAAACCCAGTCCATTTTGTTGTGTAGGGACAGCATAGGCTTAGATCTTCACACACTGTACATCTTATCCATACTGATATTTTTCTCTCAAACAGCCTGAAATCATTGTTAGACACTGTATAGCCCAGCCAAGTAGGGGACAAAAGCTTCAGCCTCCAGGGCAGCACTGGGGAGGTTTGTCCTGAGTAGGGCTAGAACGCACTCAGGATGCGCTTGGAAAGCAAAATATTAAATAACCTTTCACTGAGCTTATTTAGGTCTGGACCACGCACGTTTCTTCTCTCAAAGCAGGAGACTTTGCTCTGGTTGGCATTCAGAGATCAGCCGAAGTCAGGCTGAGTGGGCAGCTGGAATTTTGACACTTCTGTCTTCAGGGAGCTTGAGATTTGCAGCCTCCCCTGCGTATTTTCTTCTTGTGCAAGGTAGAGTTGGACAGGTAAGCAAACAGCAGGTGCCGAATGACAGACTGACAGTGTTCTCTGAGCTCCTTTGGGATGCTGACAACAGACAGGTGACTATCATGTGCAGAGAGGGTCTTGCTGCTGCAGGGTGTGACTGCGCTCGTAGCCCCCGGCACAGATCCCCTGAGCAGAGCAGGGATACAGCGTGACTGTGTGGGAAGCAGAACTGTCCCTTTTACATCCGCACCAGCTCAGAGGCTGCTTTCACCCCCTGTGACCCACCTCTCTTCTCACAGCATCACCTCTCCCCACATAACGCTCTCCTGACTTCTCTGCATTGCTGCACCTGCTGCTGAGTCCTCCCAGGGCTCCAAGCCTGGCGCAGTAGGAAGCATTGTCCTCTGCAGAAATGATGTGCCAGCTCGCTGCTGGCTTGCTCTGTTCTGCAGAGACACTGCAGCTTGCTTTCCACGCAGCTGAAACAAAAGGCAGTGGCAGTGGCTGCTGATGCTGCAGATGGTGATGCAGCCCTGATGCTGCTGGGGTGTCTCTGAAGACCCACACCTGGTCCCTGTGAGATAAAGATGAGTTCCACTCCCTTCCATGGCCTCAGTCCTTTGGTCTGTACACAGCATGGGAGAAGGTGGAGATGGGGAAAAAAGGTATTGTATCTGAGACAGGCAGGAATCTGGAGAGGTTCAGCCATGGCAAAAACACGGCACTGCAGCCAGCAAAGCTCAGCTCGTCACACTGCTCCTGAGCCAGCTCTGCAATTTGCATCTGGGTGATTTCATTCCCTATCAGTGTTCATTAGCAGCTGCCCAGCTCTCAGCTGCCTGCTTGGGAATAATTAGGCCCTTTCTCTGAAGGTCGTGACAGAGCTAACATTGCAGCCTCCTCTCCTTTGAACACGCACGCAGCCGGATGCTGGGAGCATCTATTAGACAGCTCCTGAGAGAGGTCCTGGGAGCAGATAGCAGTGGGGCAGCACGGACACCAGTGTGGTGCTGCTGTGAGTTATTCCTACAGCAAACAACAGAGCTGCACGGTGA